CACCCTCCAAAACATCAATTTCTCCATCCATCGCACAGCGTTGCTGGTTTGCAGATATACAATCCTATGCAAGGAGAGAACGGATTATTACCTGACATTAGCCTGTAATAATAACATATTGGTAATCACCTACTCCAGACTAATAGGATCACACCAAATTATGATAGTAAATTATCAGCTTATGAAAATGATTGGAGTGCCATTCTGTTGTGTTATGAAATATTAATGCTGCTATATTTCCAATCTGATTTTAGTTGATATTTCTTAAAGTCTGATTCTCACCTCTGTCTGTTTTGTCTTTTGACTTCATTACGTATGTCTGTAACATATGAAAATCGTTCCAACTTAAAATCTATCGCTTTTAATGGGTTTGGACGAATGATTCTACTTACACGTCGCACGAAACTGGGGACAATTAGAGTAACATTATGGCGTCAAAATACCAAACAATACAATGGGCAGTATAGGGCGCAATCAGCATTATAACGTCAAAAACGACAAGCGTTACATTTTGTCAATTTTAGTCAACCTAGAAATAAGATGCTTTATTCTTATTCAACCCTGGTAAAATTCACAGAGCAACAAGATCTCGAGGACAATATTTCTAAAATGTTTTTGATTTTTGAAAAACGGTCAGGAAATCCACTCGGGGCGTTAGCAAAAATTGATATGTATGGGATTTGTGGTAAAAAATCGATGCGTTACATTTTTTCAAGTCTCTGAAAGCAACTCTTATTTTCTTATTATTTGAAGAATAAAGAAATCGGTTATTGTTTTGTAAATTTCGCCATGACAATATTGTGCAGTTAATTTTTTTTTTAAATCAGACCTAAATTAGAAGGTTAAATAAAGGTAAACTTATTGCTTGTCTCCTTCGCCTTCAAAACCTTACACAATTTTGAAAATTTTAAAAGCGTTCATATAAGACGATTTGAACTGTAGCAGCTAGGCAATTGTGACGTCATAAAAGCAAATGTTTCAATGAATAAAATGTGAAATTTTAGTAAAATTCTGATCAGTATTTCAAAAGTTATCCCGAATTCAACGAACCGTGTAAGCATGGAATGTTACGTCTTACAGCGTATTTGACGATGTCGGAGTACATTTAACTTTAAAAATATGGTAGATCTCATCAAACTTTTCAAGGAAAAATGATTTCAGTGAAATGCGAATAAAAAATACTTCAAAATGATATATAATGCACATAGTTAGCTTTTTAAATAAGGCAGATATTAACGCTTAAAGCTGAGATTAGCCCGTATTTCCCGAATTGTCCCCAGGTCCGTGCACGTCATAACTACCTTAATGTACAGCGTAGAATTTCACAACGAAAATAGCATATTTTCAATATTGCTTATAACTTTTGTCAACCCAATATTCCTAAATTTAGATTCAGTTAAAAAAGAACCGACTGGTCTAATTTTTAGGACTTGAGAATTACCAATTAGGAAATTCATATTTTTAAGATATCGATAAAAAGTAATGGCCATCAAAGTGCAATCAACACATCTGGTCTTGTTTCTTAAATTGATGTTAATTAATATACATTGACACCTTTCATTATTTTACTAGCATAATGCAAAATTTTAATTGAGGTCATTTATTTGGTGTTAAAATATCAAACGATCTAATTCAATGAGAGAACGATCTTACAAATAGACTAAAATTAATGTTAAGGTATATTCTAAATGAATGAAATATCCCCCCCCCCCCAAATAAATCAAGAATTGCTAATATTTTAAATCCCAAACTGTATTTATTACCATTGTATTTGACATCATAATACGATCGTCCATGCAGAGCAGGGAAAACACATTTTTATGGGTTTAGTTTCTTCATGATTTAAAGATGGCGTTGCTGCTTGAATATGCCAGTCGTCAAAACAAGTGATTTAAAAATTAATGATACACCTAATAACCATCAAAAATTCTAAGGATTTGATAGTTTCAGTGTATCGCATATCTCTAAATGAATGATTTTCAAAAAATGAAAAGTTTGAATTTGGAAGATAAAAGGAAATTGTTTCACAAGTAAACAGGCAACAAAATGGTGCAATTAAATGAAGTAGAATGGATGCAGAGTGCTTGGAAACAATCTTTTCAAGAAACATACCAAAATTCATTAAAATTGGAAAAAAGAAAGTCTTCATTCAAAAATCCAAAGATTATCTTTAAACATTATTTTGAAAAATAGGCATGACATGTGAGCAAAATCATTGTAAAATTCAGCCAGTTTTTAATATTTTAAGTTTTTTTAATATTTCAAAAATGAAAACACCTTCAAAGAACCGATAATACAATTTTCCCGTTTTTTCATTGATATCGTCCTTGAAAAAGACCTGTCTAATATGTAGACCAACCTGTTATCCTACAGAGCACTTACTGAGACAATAACTAGCCATTTAACACCTACTAATCAGGTATTATGCTATAATTGTCACATTTATTTAACCTATAGGCAATTTATTATATAACAATCATAATATACATGTATGATAATTGCACTTTCTCATCTGTTGTTTTTCTGATCCCAGTGCCTCCTGTTGTAAAGATATGTGCATGTCAATAAAAATTGATTATCAATTTAAATTCCCTCACAAAAAGCTTAACAGAAATATACAAGAATATGAGTCAGTTTATACGAAGAAAAAATAGACAGAGACCTAGATACAGATCTCAGAACATAGATCCAGGGGAGAGGGTGTTGGAGATATGTTGGGAGTGAACCATGGGTGGTCGTCGGTGGTGAATTTGCGTGAGGGGGCTGCCAACCTGTGGGTAGCTCCCTGAGTTTCTTCACATTTATGCACTGGTGTACCTCACTGTTTCATTTATTTCTTTTTTTCTAAATATTAATATGCCTTTGAAATATAAAGTGTTCAGTTTTTGGACGAAAATTTCCGAATAAATTCACTGGCTTCAATTTCCAGGCTTTCAATCCCTGCAAAATCTGTTGGAGAAAATCCAATTAAAGAGACTCTATTGAGACTTCTCTGTGGCATTTTTTCTTTATTCCTTTTTGTTTTGAATTTTTAACACCATTACATTAACTAACTACTTAATATGCAACTTTTCACCACGTAGAATTTTAAAATATTAAGTTTGAAAATTCCATTTTTATAATGGAGCTCAATGGGAAAAACTACATAATTTGGATTATTTTCAAACGTAGTGGCGCGATTTTGATAAAATTGACGGACATAATAAATATTGGTAAGACGGAATGTTTGATGAAAAATGAAGAAAATTCACCGTCCTGGTTACGCAAACTATAGAAAAATCTGAAATAATCATAAAAACCTGTAAAAATAGATTGAAGGGGGTGATATTCATTTTTAATGTGCCTTTCACTACTACAGGGTAACTATAATTTTGGTACTGATTTGATTTTTCAATGAAAATCATTTCTATGTGTATAGTCAGTTTAAATAATACAATTGCTTTATTTCTTTACTGAACAGTGCAATCATTTATTTATTTATCAACAGTAATGCAAACTACATATTAAATATTTAAATAATTCTATTAATTAAAGCATTGAGATGATACTTAAATAATCACATATTATATTGATAGGCATATTATATTATAGGATTTAAGCCAATGACTCGATCAATGCATTGTAGATGATTAAATTTAACATATGGCCTGATTCTAGACTATGAACGAGGGTGGTAGTCCGAATTCAAAGCCTAGACTAGAAGACATAAGTGGATTGAAGCATCCACTATTGATTGAATCATGTGCTTTAATTCAATTTCACACATTGCAAAATATCTTTTACAATTTCACTTAACAGAATCATATTTTTTCAAAGATATGTTGTACTTTTAGAATCATTTGCTTCAAAGAATTGAACTATTTTTCGATGGAGATAAAAAATTTTGCTGTATACTTTGTTTGTAAAAATGCCAGCCATGGCTGTTCGATGGGATTTGCTACACTTTGCTATTGCTGTTGTCTAGTTGAAGGATGGATGGACGGACAAATGGAGGGGTCTCTATAGATTATACCCTAATCTTCGTTGGATTGAACAATTGTGAATATGGTTTGTTGGACAAATAAAACTGATTGAATAAAAGCAAATAATGAAGTGGTAATTTATTTAAAATCATTAAAATCTCAAACATGCTTGCTTTGGTCTAGTCACTTAATTCCTGAATGTCCCGTAATTAGTATTACCTTATTAGATGCAGTGAAGGAGTTAAATCATTGGGATATAAATAAATCATGCAAAACATATTTTGTACATATTTCTCATCATTTAGGGTTACCCAGTAGTTTACAAGCTGACCTTTGCAAAATATATTTCACTTACTATCCTCATTCGCTATCACGCTATCTAGTTTCTTTCCAAATTGGCCTGGATTGCCTGGTTTATTGGTTTTAGCGAACCGTCCGTTTCGTCGAACCATCATTTTGCTAAGGTTGTTTGTGATGAATATACAATATTCAGTTACATATAACTGTACAGCAACTTTATGCAAGGGAAGGTAATTGTGTGAGAGCACATAAAGTACATGAGGTATTGACCCACTTGTCTCAGTGAATCTTATAAACAGTGCATAAAGTTTTTTCTATGCAATGATTGGCTCACAGTTACTTATAGTGTAAGTTATTTTATTTCTATACAGTGTGGAATAGAGTGTATAAACTTTTACAGTTTCAAGCAGGTTTTAGTGTTTTCTGACCAATGATATATTCAGACTTATTCATTTCACGATTATGTAATACTGACCTACATATCTGTATAGCATATCTTTAACTCAGTTCCAAAATTTACTATTAGAGGGCGTGTCAATCTACTATCTTCTTATTCATGAAAACTGACAAGCACTCATCAAGGCGGAGCTAGATCAATGACCTTCCTCAATGACGTCAAGGAAATTGATATTTTGTTGCTAGGTAATCAAAGATTGACCAATCATGGCGCAGAATTGAATGTCAATCAATGATACTTCGCGCCTTAGTTGAAGCCCACCCAAATCTGTATAGTGTAAGCCAGAGAGCCATTGAAATCACACGTGTATTTAGCTCTCAGAATTAACGTAGTTTTAGTTGGATATAGAGCAGTATAGAAAATGAAAATGGATGTACAGTCTCAGCAAAACAATTCTGTCAACGGTGTGGATGATCATCAAGACCCAGGGTAAGTACAACTTGCAATAATCACTTCGGAATTTCACTGTTATTTTCTAAGTTCAATTGGTTCAAATCCCAGCTTTGTTACAAGATTTTCAGAAGTCGATGTTTTCCCACGTTTGGTTCGACACTTTCCAGGTCCGAAATATCGTTCAAATTTACAACGATTTCTCTCTGTTTGTAGGAAAATGTTCGTAGGTGGCCTAAGCTGGCAGACTACCCCAGGTATGTTCAGAATCAGTGATTCATTCTTATGTTTACCCTAGATTTTTCCAAGGCTTTGATTGAATTATGTGTTGTCAAATAGGCCAATATGGCTGTTCAAGATTTTGCTGTATAATTTTGCAGTATTAGGTATAATGTGAGTTCTCTCTATTTCAGAGGGTTTGAGGGAACACTTCGCTAAGTATGGAGAAATTTCCGAATGTATGGTGATGAGGGACCCAATTACAAAGCGATCCAGGTAGGTCGAAATTTTTCCAAAAATCACATCACAAAATCATAAACGAATCTTGTAGGCTAAAAATCACAGCTTTTCATTGTCAAATATAGGAAATAGCGCAGATAGATTGAGAATAAAACGTTAGATTGAGTAGAACAGAAGTCTAAAATAATTTGGTAGAACCAAGTTCCAGATTAGCTGGATTCATGGTTAACATTGGGGGAGCGTTGCATAAATGTTTGTGTGCCTATAGAATTTGTTGGGATTAGTACATTGGCAATGGTCAATTTGGGATGTTGATTAGCATATGAAGGCATTTAACACCTAGATTATATTCTAAATTGGGGTATATATAGCTGTCACAGATCAATTCGTGTTGAGACATCAAAGCTATTTGATTGCATTAAATCTGACGTACTATAGCTTGATTTGTTCTGGGGTAAAGGTTTATACATTTGGAGCCATTAAAATTTGACTTGGTTGAGATGTGATTGTTAAATTGAATACATTGCATGTGAAACTAATGTAGAAGTACAGGTTTAGAACATAGTCATGTAGTAAAGCTTGATGTTCAAATGGCACAGTTTTGGTCACAACAAATAAACGACCTACCCTTAAATGCCAAACCGTTTTACTTTTTCCTATTTCTTAAGTTCGTTTGAAATTTTATCCTTACCCTATTGCGATGCCAGGTTTTTAAGTTCAGACAATTTTTTGTGTCACTTTTTCATCGCCCAAAATGTGTTCATACAATCGTCCCCTTTTTGACATTTTAAAGTACTTCAAGCTAAGTGCTAATAAGCTCAAATTAAGGTTTATAATTGCTTTAACTGAACTGTATATACAATACACAATCATGCAACACAACTTTTGCATGTTATTGAAAATATGTCAAAGCATGTCATATCTCAAAATCTCTAATGACATTTACAATTTTGATGCAAAAACCTCAGTATTTTAACATTTACATATTACACCCACACTAGCTAACCTCAATATACAGGCAATATTTTCATTTATATTTACATATTAATGACTATTAATATTCATTAAAAAGCAGTGTAAAGACATGTAAAATCATATCTGCTCAATTACACCTAAAGCATTTTTCTTTGCAAATAGAAAATCTTTGCAATTTTGAAAAACTGTTAAAAAAAGAATATTCAATGATACAGTGAAACCAACAAAATTCAATCACTTTTTGATAGATTCAGAGCAAATATAATGTTTTTTAATGGTCACCTTTCTTTGATATTGATATGAGATTAAAATAAGATTTAAAAGTCTTCACATCTCAAAGTTTTTCATACTGGTTACTTTATTGATTTGCTATATACTATCTTTCCATCTAGAGATTTTCAATGTGGTTTTATTGAAGAAATAATATCTTTTACCTGGTTGCCAATGAATAAAACCTTGAGATATTCTAATGAGTTTTTTCTATATAGGTTTTCTAAAGCGATTCAGATTTATAATTCAGTTCTTTCATCTGATGTTTGGTACAGTACATGCATAATATTCCTATTTTCAATAAAAAATGGATGATTTGACATTCATATATTATTTCCATTCTGTTTTTATTTTTGTTTTTAAGTTTTACATTCATTGTTTCTTCAGAAATTTTTTGATTTTAAAATATCATTTTTACAGTTTTGTCTAAAATTTGTCAAAGATAACTCACTTCGCAATTTAGTATTTTTTTCATTTTAAAGTGGGTGCAGTTCCTGCTTGACAGAATTACTTGAACCTATTACCCCTGGTCCCTTCCTCCCTCCCCTGGTATCTTCTGTAACTGTCAAACCGTTTGTAGTGGCCAACTGTCAAATATACTGTGTTTTGCAGGGGATTCGGCTTTGTGACCTTCACAGATGTAGACAGTGTAGACAAGGTCTTAGCTAATGGACCACATGAACTAGATCAAAAAGTGGTTAGTGGACATTTTTTTCATTAGAATTTAGCATCCTTCAAATGCAGGGCTTTTTCGGAGCTCCTCCACAACTTGCCGTTGGAGGAAGTCTTGGGAGCGCTGCATTTTCTCGGGTTGGACCATCCTTGATAACAGTTTCATATTTGTTTATATTTTATGAAATGACAAAGGCAGTTGCATCTTAATTTTCTGCCCTATGGTCATATTTTAAACAAAAAGTAATATGAAATTGTTATTGTTTGTGGACCACCCTGTATTTTTATGATATTCTATAAGGTCTCCAAGATTTATCCTGTGTTAATATATAATACAGGGTGATCTCGAAGATTCTTATTAAGTTAATCTGTAGCAGGTAATTTTCACTTAGCTAGACTATATTATCATTTGATTCTTTGTGTCGCCCTGTATGGATGGATTAATTGAAATTTTCAAAAGGCGACACAAGAAATCACAAGATTGTGCATGTAATTTTTCAAAATATTTTCTAATATATTATTATAGTGATATTAAATTATAGTGATATTTATATTCTAGATATTAATGAACTATTTGCTTGTAATGAAACTGCATGTTGAAAAGTATTTCAAAAACTGAATAATTTCAAGGTGATATTGTAATCGATTTTTTTCTATATTGAACCCATCCTTATGAAATCTAAAACTTAAACAAAAAATGCTCGAGGAGTAGCGTACTTTGTGGTATATAACATATTGAAAGTCCAAATTATTTCAAAAGTAATTCCGAAAACTTATTGAAAATCCAAATTCTTTCAAGAATGATTCCACAAACTTTTTGAAAATCCAAATTATTTCAAAGGTGAATCCATAAACTTATTGAACGAGCCTCAATTTGATATGAAACAGTTCTAGTGGTTTATCCTCTTGAATGCCCCTTTGACGATATCATTTTACTGATTTATCGGATTCTATCTATATAGGCCTGCATTTATATGCTCCGTAACATTGATTATGTTATATGCATCTCATTTCTTCAAATTGATTGATGCAGTGGAAAAGACTCGTGGTATTGTTCATCTAAGGAAAATGAATCACACAAATTTTTCTCTCGATAATATCTCGAAAATTGTTGCTTTTTTTCCCTGGAAACTTTTGAGTTTAATTCCGAAGCTTGGTCTTGAGCTTGTATGATTTCATGATTTTTTGAATGATTTTGAGGATTCCCTGTTGATTCTGTAATTTTAGAAAAAATGCATGAAACCACAAGATTTTGTAGAATTCTGTGGTTTGTATAGTGTAATTAATTGCCTTGGGTGATCATTGATCTGGTTCTTAAAAAATTCTAGGTTAACACGGTTGCATCATTTTCAAAATACGGAACTACAGCGAAGTTGCACCCTTCGTAGTTCAAATCCTTGGGAGTCACAATTCTCCTCATTTTAGAATTATGGCAAACATTATATACTCGTAGATGACTTTGGCTTGAGTTCTTATAAAACCAACTTTGAAATTAAACATCTATATTTGTTGAACTAAATTAGGTGGCTTAGAAACTTATACAAGGTGTTTCTTTGAACATATACCTTAAACACATATGCCCTCATTATTGTCAAAAGAATTTTCTTTTCTAAGCCTTTCACTAAGAAGTCTTACTTTGAAAGGTGCAAAAATAGTCAGAACTTAAGCAAACATGTGAATTTGTTTGTTTTAACTTTGTTTTTACTTTTACCTTTCATAGGTAGACCCCAAAGTTGCATTTCCAAGACGTCCCAATGCACAGCAAGCGGCAAAGGTAAGTAACCCTTATGCTTTAAAGTTTTTATATTCCAGCGCCATGTCTTGGAGAAGATATTACGAAACTAAAGCCATGTGATATTTTACAAATGTGGGGGGGGAGATGGTGTTAGGGGGTGGCATTCTAAAGTATTAACATCTTGGAGAAAATATGACAAATATGGAGTTAGATTACAGATGATGGGGAGGGGGGAGGGTGGGGGTACTGTAAGGAGGATAGCATGTTCAAGTATTAGCCATTGCCCTAAGTAGATCAAATTTGATGTAATCTTTAGTCACCTTGATTTGGAAATATTGATGGTTATAATCCCCGGATTACGGATTATCCTCACGGATTAGGAATATATGATAGCTGCGCATATCAAAGATTTGAGCATTCCATATGACATTACAGTTAAGAGTTGACTGTAAGATATCATTTATTACGAATCCACGTTTCTTTTTTCTCACCTTAGTAATCCTGTATAAGATGAATAAGGCTAATTAATGCATACCTTTGCTAGTTAATTAAATAAAAATCATACAATTATTGATTGCTTGTGAAATGACTGTAGTTAAGCCGCTTAACACACATAAGATCCTGGAACTTCAGTAGAACGTATACATTGTCTTATTTGAAGAAAAGGTTATAATCCATTGTTTTTTAACCCATCAATTTATATTTATTGATCTCAAAAGAATGATTTTTTGAAAGAGAAGTTATGTGAAGAAATATATGAGGGTTTATTCATAACATTGTGGGTGGTACCTCAGTTAATGACGGGATTAAAACGTAGAGGTTGGAGTGATCTTTTCGAATTCAGAGGTTCTGATATTGAAATTCCAATTAATGTTTCTACTGAATAGTCCATGAAATAAATAACAGTTCTTGACTTGTAAATGTATCTTAAGAATTTGTGAAGAAAAACAGGGACAAAAAGCATTTATTTTTGTCATCAGGGTATGATTTGGAACTCAGGTCAAAATGTGTTCTAAACATACATAACTAAGGCATGAGATTAACTTACGGCTGTGGTACTGGTAAAAAAAGGTTGAAATCAACATGTACCTCCAATTTCCGTATCTCTGATAATGCAGAAATATTCTTATGTTTCCCTTAACATCACTGTTAGCTCAACCCTACACTTTTTCGATCTCTATTTGTGACGTCATCTCTAATACATCAAAGAAAAACATGAGTACGATCGTTTCCACATACTTTATACATGGACTGCCTCTCTGTTTAAAAACTTTGGGAATTATCAAGAATGGGGTAGAATTGTTGAATGGATTAGTAAGGGACACTTTAACCTAAAAATAGTTCCAAACGCCATATTCCAAACATCTCCACATGTTGGTTGCTCGGATTACAAGTGATCTGTTCAAGGGTTTTAACCAGTGCTGACTTATCAGAATGTTGTTTTTTGTCCAAATTGGATCAATGAAAAAGCTATCTTTTTTATCGTTGATTGAAACTTCCTGTGTGATGTTGGATCTGCATAGTCTCAGCAACTTAATTTATATCATTCTTTGATAATTTTTATGTGATATACTGTTTTGTTTTTAATGGTAATGACAGTCTAATCAAGTTAGCGTTTATTTGACAGTATTTTATCTCTTCCCCAATTTGCCATCTTGTCTTTGACATATGTTGCAGGTACCTTTGTCTGAGAGTTGTACATTTTGGTAACATGATACCATCTTGTCTGCGGAATGGCATCGTATGGTACACAATACACATGTTGTGGTGAAAGTTGAAATCATTTTCAACAATTGCTAATTGGAAAAATACTAATAATGAATTGAATGAATTATGACAAATAACAGCTTTGGCTTATCAGATTTGATATCAAATTAATAACAAAACTCCCAACCTCAAACTGGATGTATATTGATAAACCGCATTGATTTTATATTAAACTTTACGATTTGTTTTAGTTGACTGTGAAAGAGATATACAGTGATTATAAATATAAGTGTGAAACAGGTTACTACGATACTCCATGATATTTGTACAGCCCAGGGTTTAGCTCAGATATTAGGCGGCATTTTTGATTATGCATACATATTTCAACGCATTTCTCTCAAAAATTTGAATAAACCACCCAGTTTTCTGGCATTTCGTTACAATTTAGAGTATAATCTACACGTCTGTTACCTCCGTTCCTTTGAAGTTCTCCTCTTTCGTGGTTAATTCTGCATTTCAAAAAGCCCACTTCTGATATTTTATCTATGAGGAGGTAGAACATGTAATTGATGAACATAAGGTAATTAGACCCATCATTAATAAGGATTATGGAGTAAACCCTGATTTTAGACTGGCATGGGGTGCTATGGTGCAATTACCTTACGGATAATAGACGTTATTCCAAATCTCTCGCATGCCTAGCAATCTGTCTTCTTCAAGGTTTAGATGAACTAAATTACGCTACGATTCATACATCATGCCAAAGAATCTATGGTTTACATACCATGATATTTAGAATTAGTGAATCGAACTAAAATTTCGTGTTCTTTATTTGATCCAAATGCAAGGTATTTATTATATGTCTGTACCATAATTTTTCACCACCTGGTGGAAACTTAGGATATAGAAGGAATTGTTTTGCTAGGCTTAGAGTTAACCCCTATAATTGTAGATAAGCTTTCATTTAGGGGCTTATCATTAGTTTTAACTCTTTCATGACTTGATGGGATCTCATGACAGAATCACAATTAGTTTTCGAACTGGAATTTCAGGTTAATTGCTAAATTTGCCACAAGAGGTGTTTTTGCATTTTGATTTACCAAAGGGTATTTCCAAAGAAAAACGAGGAGAGACCATTTCTACTAAGTACATATATTCACATATTCTATGACTGATCCCAGAAAATACATCTATTGCGTAAATATTTGACTATTTCTAGATCATTGACTCTATGACTATTTCCTAGAATGTATATATAAGTGAATTACCCCCACAGCTATAACTTGACTGGTTACAAGAGTGCATACGTATAGGTTATTGCCTCCGTTTCTCTAAGAGGGGACTTTTGTATTTACTAGAGCTATTAATCTAAACTGTTACTGTGGGGAAGTAAATTAACTTGGATGTGAAGACACTAGAGTCTGCCTAGATATTTACTACCCTTAGGTCATCAGTATGTGTATTATACTCTGATTATGACCAATCATTTGAAGTGTATCTGTTGTATTAAGAGGGTGGGATGAATTCGATCACTTTTACAAAGGTGAGTTACTACCCTTTGGTCATCAATATGTATACAGTACTCTGAGAATGACCAGTCATGTTTCTGTCTAGTTTATCTGTTATTTTAAGAGGGTGGGATGAATCAGTTACTTTTATTAAGGGAATCAGTGCTATAATATATACCTATCCTATCGGAGTTAATATTTTCATTTTAAGCTCAGCTGTTTTTGTGTATATTTAACTTTATCATTGGAGAATTCGTATCATTTGACCTGATTCTGATTATCATATGGCGTATTGTTGCTATGGGGATCATTACATCATAATGAGCTGTATCCCTGTTTAATTCTCAAATGGAAAATATTTTGGTCCCCAAACTCCTGAGTACAAGAATAATCTCCATTTTATACTTTTAAATAAACATGCCAGAGCCCAGAAATGGCATAAAATGAACAGTATCGAAATCACGAAATCATATTCGCAGTTCAAATCTCTGTTAACGCTTCAGTGAAGAAAGTGAAATATTACGGGACATCTTGCTTCCCATAAAGGTCTTTATTTTCAGTCGAAAAGATTCTGCATACAGATCTTCGTAATTCGTTCAATTACCCTCTTAAATATGTTGTTGTGCTGTATATATAATTTAGTATGTTGATAAATTGGCGCTTGTTTATTTTTTAGCATTTTCTTATCTCTAAGGGAGAGAAAAATGGGTCTATTGAACCATATATTTTCTCAGATATACCAATTACAGCTTTTAACATGGAATCAGTCTGAATATATGCACGCTATATACTTGTATACTTCTGATATGATCCTTTCTTGCAAACAAATATAATTTCAGTTGTATATATTTTATACAATTCACTATTCATTATACTCTACCACACCTCTTAAAAATTTCAATGAATTGCTTATGTTTTTACATTTCTCCATAATTCAGAATGTTAGGCACATATGATCATGTTTATTCCTCGCTAATTCCCCTCTTTTGTCACGTTTTGCCATTTTAGAACATGACCAATCAGATGTCCTTGTGTGGGTAGTCGTAGGTGAAGAAACTTGATTGATTTTCGTCATCTGTGATCAGAAATCTTCGCTATAGTATAGTCCGAGACATTGTTTTTACATATCGATCAGAGATAGTATAAGGACCCTTCACCTGACATAAGTGACTGTCTGTATTGATTGGTTTGCAAAATGTGATTGAATTATGCAAGATAGGGTCTCGCCTGATGTGTTTATGCATTTCAAATGTGGATTCAGGAGATGCCGTGTACTGAGTGATTTCAATTATTTCTAGACTTTTTCCATGCTGTATCGAAAGGCAATAAATTATGTAGTAGAAAGTACTGGCGAAATATATATTTCTTAAACATAGCATGTCCAATCAGGCAATCAAATAACCCACTGGGGTTGTTCATCAAGAATATTGCATTATGGGAAATCTAGTGACCATGATGACGGGTATATAAGATGTTGATTCGTCATGGCAGAACTCTATTGAAATGTGAAATCTATCACTTTACCCGTACATCTATTCAATTACATATACCATAGACAATTATTCTCCAATATACACATTTGGGGCCACATTGATTCTCAAATTAAACCAATCATGCATATTCTCCCAATTCGTTATTTTTTATTGAATTATATGAATCTAGACTGATCTGCTTATAAGATGCATTGGTAACCCGTTATACATGTAACAAAATTAGCGGCAGGCCATCTGGTATTATTGTTCAATATGGACTTCAATACAGAGAATAATATTCAATGTTTAACCAAGGAGGATTGGCTCCCAGGATCGAAACTCGATATTTTCC